TCTGACATCAATACCAGGAAAGATTCTAGAACAATTCATTAAGCAGAGTCTGTGAATATTTAGATGGGAATGCCATAATCGCTAAAAGTCAACATGGGTTTCTCAAAAACAAGTTATGCCAGACTAATCTGATCTCTTTTTCTTTTTATAAAATTACCAGCTCCATAGATGAAGGGAACACAGTAGACATAGTACATCTTGATTTCAGTAAGGCTTTTGAAAAGGTCCCTCATGATATCCTTGCAAACAAGATAGTAAAATGTAGGCTAGACAATACAACTGTTAGGTAGATTAGTAACTGGTTGACTGATCAAACCCAAAGGGTGCTCAGCAATGGCTCCTCTTCATCCTGGAGAGAAGTGACCATTGGGGTGCCACAGGGTTCTGTCCTGGGCCCAGTGCTATTCAACATCTTTATCAATCACTTGGTTGAAAGAATAGGGGGCGTACTTATCAAATTTGCAGATGACATCAAATTAGGAGGAATAGCTAATACCCCAGAGGACAGGATGAAAATTCAAAATTACCTTAATAGATTAGGACACTGGGCCAAAGCTTTAAAAAAAATGAATTTCAACACAGAGAAATGTAAGGTACAGTACTTAGGGCAAAAACATAAAATGCATAGATATAGAATGGGGGACACCTTGCTTAATGAGACTATATGTGAAAGGGATATAGGAGTCCTAGTAGACCAAAAGTTGAACATGAGTCAACAGAGTTATGCAGCAGCTAAAATGGCCAATGCAATTTTAGGCTGCATCAATAGAAGTATAGTATCTTGATCAAGGGAAGTAATAGTGCCACTGTATTATGCTTTGGTCAGACCCCACCTGGAATACTGTGTCCAGTTCTGAGCACCACAGTTCAAAAAGGATGTTGAAAAACTAGAGCGTGTCCACAGAAGGGTGACTAAAATGGTGAAGGGTCTGGAAACCATGCCCTATGAAAAACGAATTAGGGAACTAGGTATGTTTAGCCTGGACAAGAGATGGTTAAGAGGGGATGATAGCCCTGTTTATCTATGCATATTGAGGAGGGAGCTAACATTTTCTGCTGTTCCAGAGAACAGGACCCAGAACAATGGATGCAAGTGACAGGAAAAGAGATTCCACCTCAACATTAGGAAGAACTTCCTTACAGTGAAAGCTGTTCAACAATGGAACACACTCCCTCTGAGTGTAGTGGAATCTCCTTCTTTGGATGTCTTTAAACAAAGGGTGGATGGCCATCTGTCAGGGATGCTTTGATTTTGAATTCCTGCATGGCCAGGGCTTGGACTGGATGGCCCTTGTGGTCTCTTCCAACTGTATGATTCTATGATTCTAAGTGTTAAATCAGCCATATATATATATATATTTTAAATATGTTTTTACTCCTAGTTATTTCATTTTTAAAATATATTTTACTGATCCATAGAGTAGGCCTATTTTATCTGTATCTATTTAATTTTTTGCAATACACCCTGCATTCAAAGGTTGGGGAAAATATGGGTTATAAATAAATTAGTAATAACAATGATACTAACAACCACCAGTAACAGACAATGTTTGGGCTGAATATTAGACTATGGAGACTGAGCCTTTACTTTTGGCTATATTTGAGATAATATAGAAAAGCACATAGCTTATATAGAAATCAAGGGCTGATGGCAATTCTGGTTCAACAACATCTGGAGAGTGGTTCATTTTCAGTTCTGGCCTGAATGCAATTGTTATTTCAAACCAGAGCAGACCTATTGGATCAAATGAATTTGCTCAATAAACACTTATGTATTTCTATTAATAGAGTAAGGGCCTCTGTAGACCGGCCCAAAGGGCCAGCCAGGAGGCAGAGATGGGGCGGGGCAGCCGCACGCCAGCTGCCCCAACCCCACGCTGATGCCATCCTGACACCGCGCACCATTACGTATGGCGTGTGGTGTCAGGACGCCCTTCCGGTGCAGTGTTCAAACATGCTGCACTGGAAAGAGTGATGAAGAGCTGCGCGCTGGCTCTTAGGGCGGCCTTTTGCCACCCCTGAAAGAAGTGGCATATTGCCGCTCTTTCAGGAGTGGCTAAAGGGAAGGTCAGGGCTGTGGCATGCAATTGCCTTGGCCTCGATCCACAGCTAGCAGGGGTGGCCCAAAGCTGCCCATCTGCATAGCCCCTAAGTCTGCTTTATTTAGAACTACATTTATACTTTAGAAATTTCTATCTCTACTGTAGAAATAATGCAGTTTAATATCAATTTAACTGCCATGTCTCCATCCTACAGAATCCTGAGATTTGTAGTTTTGTGAGGCACCAGAACTCTTTGGAAGAGAAGGCCAAAATACTGTAAAACAAATCCCAGAATTTCATAAGATGGAACTTTAGCACTTAAAGAGGTGTCAAATTGCATCATTTCTACAATGTAGATTCAGCCTAAGTTTAGATTTAGATCAGGGGTAGGCAACCTTTCCCCTTTAAGGGCCAAGGGACTTCAGGTCCCCGAAGCCTCAGCCATGTTGGCCAATAGTCCCATGTTGGCCAATAGCTCCTGGGATTCTGGAAGCTGAAGTCCCTCGGCCCTTAAAGGGGAAAGGTTGCCTACCCCTGATTTAGATCATTGTGATCCAGCAGTACCTTGTAATGTTTTAACCTTTCTACTAAGAAAAAAGAGGGGTAGAATTATGGTAATAACCACCTTTACCACCTCATAGCCCTAACCCTTCAATTCTC